GGTGGGAGGGTGGGGGAATGTGTGTGCCCCAGTCTTGGGAGGGGAGAAAGTGCCCAGCACAGCATTCGATGCAGAAACAGCCTAAAGGAAGCCCATGGTGGCAGGAGGAAACAGCATCCCACTGTGGCCTGGGAAAGCTGCTGTATGCCCACCTGTGGCAGAGGTACACCGCTTCTTCGGTTGTGCTGGGGCAGAGGATTGTTGTTGGTGCCAGCCCACAAAGAGGTCCGGTAGCTATAGCAAAGAGAACTAACTACCTGGGGAGACTGGGGCCCTTCCTAGGACCCTGACAGGGACCCTGGGCTCTTGATCGCTGTTACCAACTCCCTGGGTGTTTATAGGTGTCCCAGTTTTAGGAGGTCCAAGGTTCTTACTTTTGAAACCAGGCCCTCCCTAATGGAGCCCTACCAATCGCTCCAGCTTCCTCTTCTGCTCCCACTTTTAGCCTCAGGAAGACCACAGCGTTTGCAGCCTTGTGATGCCTCAGGGCCTTCGTGCCTGCGGGGACCCACTTCCTCCTTCTCCTGCTCAATTCACCATTCCTCCAGCCTCAGCTCAGGCTCTACTCATTCTGGGATCCCTTCACCCCGGCAGGGCCGGGGGAACCCTCTTGAACGGCGCTCCCACAGCCTTGTTTTGGAAGTCAGGACACTGGCTCCATTCGGGTCGCCCGCCTGTCCTCCAGACGGGGAAGGTAACAAATGCATCTTTGTATCCTCAGCACCCAGCACAGGGCCCGCCTGGCCTCCAGGCGACAGTCAGGAGACCTGAGTGAGCCAGTGAGTGAGTAAGAGAGAGGGTGGTAAGTGAACGAACGACTGAATGACAAGGTGGGTAAATGAGCGAATGAGCTAGTGGGTGAATGAATGAGCGGGTGAACGAGTGGGCGGACGAGAGGGTGCGCGTGTGAATAAATGAATGAATGACTGAGTGGGTGCCTGAGTGAGGACAGGTGGGGACTGAACGAGTGGGCGAGGGTGCCGGCAGCGAACCGGCGGGCTGGAGCGGCGGACGCGGGAGGGCTGAGCGCGCGCCCGAACCGCGCCACCTGTCCTACCCGGGGCAGCGTGGCCTGGGCGGGGCGGGGCGGGGCGAGGCGAGGCGAGGCGAGGCGAGGATGGGAGTGGGCGTGGCGAGGTCGGGCGCGGGCGTGGCAGGCCCTGGAGGGCGGGGCTAAGCTGGGAGTGGGCGTGGTAGGCCCCGGGTGTGGGCGGGGCGAGGCCAGGCAGAGCCCTGGCTGGCGCGGAGGAAGTCACGTGGCGAGCGCTCACGTGACTGGCGGCGCTAAGGACCCGGTACCCGCGGCGCCAGCAGCTGCAGCGGCTGAGCCGGAGGCGGACGAGGAGGCGGACCCGCCAGCGGCAGGTATGGCAGGCACCCACCAGGCCCCGCGCTGCTCCAGCCAGCGCCCCCCGAGACCCTGAGGCCTTCGGTACTCTTCCTGTCGGCGGGCGGCCCGCGCCCCGCCTGATCCCCCCTCCCACTCCCGCGTCCACGCCCAGGAGGGCGCGTGGCCGCGCGGCCCGGAGCCGGAGCACCTGTCCGGGTTTGCGCCTCGCCGCGCGCTTCTGCCCGCGTCTCCCCGGAACTGTCCGGGTCCCTGGGGGCCGCAGGGCCCACCCGCCCCGCGCTTCCTGCTTGCCGGCCTGCCCGCCGCGTGGGGCGCAGTCCCAGGACCTGCCGGGTCTTGGCAAGAACTCAGGACTTTAGTGTTCTCGAACGCCAGCCCTTCGTGTTTCTCCCTAAGTGCTTTTCTTAGCGGATGAGCGTGAGGCGTGCGTTTTCTAGGATGTCCCTGTTTAAAATGGTACCCCCTCTAGTCCTCTAACTGGAGGATAGATGAAGGTGGGTGTTGGTGTGAGTTACTGCTGCTTCTTGGCGGGTGGCGGGGGCCCAAGGTTGGAAGCTCCGGCTGGGCCGTCTGGCGGGGTGTCTCTGAGGAGGCCATGCTTAGAGTTCTGGAGGGCTGCTAGACACTGGATTCATTAGGGAGAAAGAGAGGCAGAAGTGGAGTGAAGCTGCTGGGGGCAGGGGTGGCGTTGCGCCGGATTGGCCCCATTGGCATGAAGTCCCTTGGTGAGTCTGCGTCTAGGGAGCAGTCCCCACCCCGCCAGCCGCACTGGTCTTTAGTTACTTTTACTTTCTCATGTAGCTGTGTAAGGAGAAGCATGTGATGGCTCTTGCTCGTGGTTAGAACACTGCGTTCATGAGGTCACACGTTCGAGCCCAGGTGGGCCAGTCGGCCCTCCCGTACCAGGGCCGCACGCTGGGCTCCCAGCGTTTGGGTAGGAATGGTTCTTCCCCCGAGGATTGTAAAGCAGCTCAGAGTTCCTGGATGTGATGGTTACTCAGGGGTCTATTTGCAGGTACAGGGACAGCCCTGACTGTTTCCTGCAGGGCTCACCCATTGGCTGCTATTGTGGTGTCATCTGCCACAGCTCTCCGAGGCTGGCAGCGGGCCTTCCTTGGGGCCCTGGGGATTTTATTAGCCATCCTGGATGGCAGGTGAAATGGTAGAGGAAAAAAAACCCCCAAAAACCCACAACCCAGAGGCAAGTGACTTGTCCACTGTGGGCAGTGTTAAGGGGGCATGTCGTGGTGTGGGTGGTGTTTGGAGGGGCTGGAGTCAGAAAATACAAGTCTTTGAGAATGAATTTGGTCCAGAGATGATATATGTATCTCTCATGCTTTAGCAAAGGTTTATTTTTGACTGTTGGAGAAGCAGTGGCTTATGGGTAATACAGCGAATTTCCTCTTCTCTGGTGTTCTGTCCACACAGCCAGAGCCCACCATTAGTGTTAATTGTGGGGATCGCGGGGGTCTAGGTCTTTGTAGTAGCTTTGGGATTGTCAGAAAAAATTGTGTTCACTGTGGTTTTCAGCCTTAAGGGTCTTTTATATCATATTCTAATCCCTGGAAGCTTAAGCTGTAAATGATAACTCCCTCCTGACAAATTTAACTTCCAATTATGCAATACATGGACAAACACACAGAACATTACAGATTAAAGTCTCACCTCATTTGCGATCACCTCGTCTTACCAGTTTGGGATGCATCCTCTCATCTGTATTTTCATGTCTTATACATACGTGCACTCAGACAATGTACACCTCCTTGTGTGCTTGTGCCCGTGTTTCCCTAGTGTAGTGTATTAGTTTTCTACTGCTGCTGTAACAAATTACCACAAACATGGTGGCTTAAACAGCAAAAAGTTATCATCTTACAGTTCTGGAGGTCAGTAGCCTCAAACAGGTTTCCCTGGGCTAAAATCCAACTGTGGACAGGGCTGCGTTCCTTCTGGAGGCCCTCGGGGAGAAGGCGTTTCTTGGCCTTTTCCAGCTCCCAGATGCCTTCCGCATTCCTTGCCGGAGGATTCCCTTGCTCCAGCTACCGTGGGCCACACCTTTCTTGTCCTGTCATCTCTCTGATTCTCTTTCTTTTGTTCATTTCTTCCACTTTGAAGGACCCCAGCATTACATTGGGCCCACCTGCTAATCCACATCCTTTGCCCTCCTTTCACAGTCAGCTCATTAGCAGCCTAAACGTCATCTACACCTTTAATTCCCCTTTACTGTGTAATCTAACAGATTCACAGGTTCCAGGGGTTAGGATGCGAGTACCTTTAGGGGCCATTATTCTGCCTTAGATACCCGTAAGGAGTGGAATTGCTGGGTCATAGGGTTGCATATTTTTTGTTTTAACAAATCCTTACAAATTATCCTTTCTGATGGCTATTACCAATTTATACCTGTAACAGCAGTGCATCTTTTCCCCATAACCTCATCACCATTTCATACCATTTTTTAAAAAACTCCCTTCAGCATTAGAGAAATTAAGAACGTGTTTTATTTTTGTTTTAATTTCTATTTCTTCGATTATCAGTGAGGTTTAGTTTCTTATAATATTTTGACCTTGTATGGCCTTCTGAACCAGTTGTTCTTATTTTTTGCCCATTTTCTTAAGGGATTGTCTTTTTTTCTTTGATTTTTAGCAGTTCTTTTCTTTTTGTATTTTGGACATAAACCTGTGCCGGGTTGTATATTAAAATCATTAACTATCAAAATATCTGACTGGAACACTCTGTTTTCTGACTGTGCAGCATGAGAGTTTATTTCAGGGCTTGTTTAGAGGTTACAGAGCTCAATGATTGTGCCTTAGAGTGACAAAGAATGAGTATGATATGTGCTTGATTGTCTAATCTGATTTTTGCGATTGCATCATACACGGATAAAAAAATATAGACAGATTACCACTGTGTATCCCAGCTCTGCTTTCCTACAACCCTGCAGCCCTAAACTTGGTTTTTATTTATTTATTGGCCACTCTGTGCGGTTTGGGGGATCTTTGTTCCCTGACCAGGGATTGAACCCGAGCCCTTGGCAGTGCAAGTGCCTCGTCCTAACCACTGGACCGCTGGGGAAGTCCCCTAAACTTGGTTTTTAGAACAAGGGAGAATCACCTTCACTTCCGTTGGAGCGCCTCATTGGACGGTACTCCATACATCCCATTCGGTTAGGAAGCTCTGAGCCGTTTGTCTTCCCAAACCTCTGGCTGCCTCCTGGTTTTCTATGGGGTTAGGCCTGAACTCTGCTCATCCTCTGAGCGCCTCCATGACCGGCCGCGCCCTCTCTGCACGCCTGCACGGTTTCCACGCCCCCTGTGCTCCCGCCACCACCCTCGCTGCTGCTGCTCTGCCTGTACACATCTGTTAGGCAAGTCATGAGCTGTCACTTGAGATGTGTGCATCTGACGGATTAAATTATACCCTTAAAGTACCATCTGCATTGGGGTAAAACACCTTCCTGTCCATTCCTCTCCCTCCGTTACCCACATTTCCATTGTCAACTCCTGACCTGCAGAAACCATTATTTTTCTTTACGTCCCAGTAGCTAGAATAGTGTCTGCTTTGTGGAAAGGGCTCTGATGTTGGAAAAGAATTACAGTTTTTTTTTTTCCGCCGTGACATGCGGGATCTTAGTTCCCCGACCAGGGATCGAACCTGGGCCTCCTGCAGTGGAAGCTCGGAGTCCTAACCACTGGACCACCAGGGAAGTCCCTAGAATTACATTTTTGTTTTTGTTTTGTTTTTGTTTTTGTTTTTTTGCGGTACGCGGGCCTCTCACTGTTGTGGCCTCTCCCGTTGCGGAGCACAGGCTCTGGACGCGCAGGCTCAGCGGCCATGGCTCACGGGCCCAGCCGCTCCGCGGCACGTGGGATCCTCCCGGACTGGGGCACGAACCCACGTCCCCTGCATCGGCAGGCGGACTCTCAACCACTGCGCCACCAGGGAAGCCCTAGAATTACATTTTTATTGTAAGTGTTTTTTAGGATAGTATCACATTTTAGTTTGGTAACAGTGGTAGCTATGCAGATATTATTTAAATCGGTGTTAATGGTCTTTGAACTCTGTCTCTTTCTCCCTCTCACACACACACACACACACACACACACACACACACACAATTTGCAAGGTAAAAGGTGTCCATTTGAAGAAAGAGGAACTGAATCACTATTGTGTAGAACACGTTATGCCAGAATTTGTGGTTAAGCAAGAAAGTGATGTGTTCCGGGTTGGGGAATTCTGTTTTGGTTTATTTTTTCCTTCCTAAGAAAAACGCGCCAGAAAAAGAGATGTCTGGCCTGCGGTGTGCTGGGGTGACGGGGAGGGGCTGGAGTGGTGAGATGCTGGAGAGATGTGAGCCGCCTTCTGTGGCCCACGGTGCATGTTAAGAGGAGCTGCCCTCGTGGTTAGAACCTGGGGCAAGTGAGCAGACAGGCGGCCGGAACCCTCGGGAATTCGAAGAGCTCGACCCTTGACCACGCACGTTACCCTCTGAAGAACCGTAGTGCTTTCATCCTTTGAACGTTTTTGTTGTAGAATCATTAAGAAGTCATAGCCAGACTTGAGGTAGACGTTCTTGGTGAAGGTACCAGTATTAAAACCTCACGCGGGACAGGCGGGCGCAGGAGGGCCCCAGACATAACCTGTGAGTTGAGCTCTAGGGGAAGCTGAGGCCACACTTGGCTCTATTTCCTGCTGGCCAGGTTGTAGGAGGACACACGTGTCCTTGGGGTGTGTGGATAGGCATGTTGGTGGGGGCGGGGGGGGGTCCTTCAAGCACTCTTACCCAATTTGGAGTATGTGTGCTAAGCAAAAGGAAAGTGAAATTGCACGATTGATGAATTCCAGGGAAGCTTGGTAGGGACTGGAGACATCTCCGAGAAGCACATTTATGTGATTTCCCGACAGTCTTCAACCTGGTTTGTGCCAGTGAAGTTCTCTCCGACAAGTCTTACGAGTGAACTGTAAGCAGACCAGTAAAGTTTTCATGTAGTATGTGATTTGGCACTTCGAGGAGAATGTT